CTACCATTGAGTCAGTTTGAATAATTTATTTTAGAAAGATCAGCACAAGGCTGGTCCCTATGAGGTGAATGCTAAATGTCCAACTTTTCCAAACTATAGTGCCACTCCATTATCTCTGACATCAATCAACTCCTCCTGCTCCATTCAGTAATCTCCTTCCTGCCTTAGGGTTCCTTATTGCGATAACATTTCACAGAATTCACTCACAAGGAAATGGTTCATGTGGTGGTGGTAGAGGCTGGGAGACTGGCAGGCTGGCAAGTCCCAAGTCTTTGGGTAAGTCTGGAGGATTCTCCCAACTCATGTAATTGCAAGAGTTGGCAAATCAAATCAGTGGGACAGATGATGGCTGCTGTCTCAAGTCCAAGGGTGAGATAATGACAAACCAAACCCAGGACTGCAGCAAGAGAGCCAACTTTCCCAAAATATTCATATATATGCCCTGGTAGCATAGTGCCTAAGGCACTTGACTGCTAACCAGAAGGCTGGCAGTTCAAATCCACCAGCCACTCTTCAGAAAGAAGGTTGGGCAATCTAATTCCATAGTGATACTACCTCAGAAACCCAAGGAGGCGCCACTATGAGTGGGGTCCGACTCAACGGCCCATAACAAAAACAACAGCCCTCAAGGAAGCTAAGGGTGGTGACTTGAGTCACACCCTCCAGCAAGGCGGACTCAAGAACATCCCATCCTACACAGGCATGTTGTTGTCCTCCAGCAAGGCGGACTCAAGAACATCCCATCCTACACAGGCATAGAAACTAGGATTTACATCACAAAATGGAAGATGATGGCTGTTGTCAGCTCCAACTCATAATGGGGTGGGCTCCAACTCATAATGACCCTATGTACAACAGAACAAAACACTGCCCATTCCTATGCCAGTAGTACAATCCTTGCTATACCTGAGCCCATCATTGCAGCCACTGTGTCTATCCATTTTGTTGAGGGTCTTCCCCATTATTGTTGACCCTCCACTTATCAGGCATGATATCCTTCTCCAGAGACTGGTCCCTTCTGACAACATGACCAAAGTAAGTCAACAAAGCTGGCCATTCTTGTTTCCAAGGAGCATTTAAGACATAGTATACTATGTCCTTTCCAGGACAGATTGGTTAGTTCTTTTGGCAGTCCATGTTACTTTCAGTACGCTTTGCCAACACCACAACTCAAAAGCATCAACTCTTCTTCAGTCTTCCTTATTCATTGTCCAGCTCTCACATGCATATGAGGCAACTGAAAACACTATAGCTTGGGTTAGGCACACTTTAATCTTCAAAGAGACATGTTTGCTCTTCAGCACTTTAAAGAGAGAGGTCTTTTGTAGCACATTTGTCCACAAGGTCATCTGATGTCTTGACTGCTGCTTCCATGAGTGTTGTGGAACCAAATAATATGAAATCTTTGACAACTTCAAACTTTTCTTCATTTATTATGATGCTGCTTATTGGTCCAGTTGTGAGGATTTTCATTTTCTTTGTTGATATGTAATCCGTACTGCAGACTGTAGTCTTTAATCTTCACCAGTAAGTGCTTCAAGTCATCCTCAGTTTGAGCAAGCAAAGCGGTGGTGTCTGCATATCACAGGTTCTTAGTGAGTCTTCCTCCAATCCTGATGCCATGTTCTTCATATAGTCCAGCTTCTCAGATTATTTTCTCAGCATACAAATTGAACATACAAATTGAGTAAGCATGGTGCTCTGGTTACTTACTGACCCTCTGACAAGAATATACCACAAATGGGATGGCCTTAACAAACAGGAGTTTATTCTCTTACAGTTTGGAGGCTTTAAGTCCAAGTTCAAAGTGCCAGGCTCTAGGGGCTGGGTAAAAGCCCCTCAACCTTGGGGTCCAGCTCTGCCTCCTGCTCCTGGACCACTGAAGCTAGAGGTATTTCTTCACTCAGACAGCTGCTGTTTGCTGAGGCGGACAAACTCAAGGTTGACAAGTAAAACGCAGAGACCCAATGTTATCAAACCACATGGCAGGCCATTAATTTAAATCCATTGTAAGTCCCAAGGTCAGCAGAGCATGGCAGGCTGCTGAACAGCGACACAGCTACATGCAGAGTCCAAGTGTGCCATAAGCTAGAGACCACTCCCCAAGGCTTCTGCTTATATACAGGAAACAGACCACATTCCCTAAGGCAGCTATGCAGCTGCTCACAGTAGATTCCACCATGGAGTTGATTACCATTCTCACCATGGGGAATACTACATCCAGCTGCCCAGACACTCACCCAGGCCCAGCCAAGTTGACACACAAAATAACTACCACACATTGTAAAAGGACACAATCCTGGACTCCCTTCCTGATTTTACACCATGCAGCATCCCCCTGTTCTGTTCACACAACAGCCTCCTCATCATGGTTCCTCATGAACACAATTAAGAGTTCTGAATTCCCATTTTTCTCAATGTTATCCATAATTTGTTATGATCCACACAATCGAATGCTTTTGCATAATCAGTAAATAAACATCTTTCTGGTATTCTTTGCTTTCAGACAATCTGACATCAGCAATGATATCCTTCATTCCAAATCCTCTTCTGAATCCAGCTTGCATTTTTGGAAGTTCTCTGTCAATATAGTGCTAAAACCATTTTAAAATTATCTTCAATAAGATTTTGATTGCATGTGATATTAATAATACCACATTGTATGTGATATTAATGATCATGGCTAGAAGGGCCATATAAGCAATTCACTGCTCTGTAGGCCACCCCTTGGCTCTTCTACCCATTAGCCCTTTCACACTTGAAGGATTAATTTGCCCCTCTCAATCATTTTACCAGTCCCAAAGTCAGTAACAATTAATCCTTCAGTAGGGTAAAGAGTCCTAAGGGTGAAGTTACTCAGATGCCAGACATTCAGGTCTGCTGCAGGTGTCCACCTGATCTGACCAGGGGCTCCAAAAGTTTGTCTTATCATCACCCTTTCAGGCCTCTGATAAAATTTAACTGAGAGATTATTTCCTTGCTCTGAGTCTCTTTAAAAAAAAAAAAAACTCACTGCTGTCGAGTTGATTTGAATCACAGTGACCCCTGGTTGGGTTTCCGAGGTGGTATTCTCTACAGAAGTAAATTGCCCAATCTTCCTTCTGAGGAGTGGCTGGTAGGTTTGAACCTCCAGCCTTTTGGTTAGCAGTCAAATGCCTTAGGCACTATACCACCAGAGCTCCCATAATGTCATTTTCCCACCTTGGGAAGGGACATGAAGTTCAGCTTCTGTATCAGTGCAGATTGCTGGTAGCAGACCAATCTAGCAAGTCCTTCTCCCTCTGGTCACTCTCATTCATGTTGG